TAATATTGATTTCATGAGTATTGTATTTTTAAATTATCAGCACTGAATTCCTACATGACACTCATTGTCCATTAATTACTGTATTAATTTTTAATTCGCTAAACCTTTGTACTTGTTTTAATCTTCAATTCGCAATCTTTAATCTTCAATGCGTAGTAGTCTTATACAAGCTTTAATTGCATTGATGTACGAACACATACAATTAGCAAACAGTTACTTAAAAAAACTTTTATCAAAGTTTACCGCTAAGTTATTTCCTTCTTGAATGATTTTTAATAAAGACTATATAGAATAAAGATTCGACTGTCACTTTTTCGCTACATTTTATATATGTCAAACTATTTCTTTCAATCCTATATATATATTAGGTCATTGAAAAAGTATCCGCGGTTTTTTGTTCAATTTTTGAATGAAAAAATCGCGGATACTTTTTAAATGACCCAATATATATATCATATATATACAATATATATAAATCTCTCTTACATTTTCAGCGATAAATATCACAACCTCTCTTTGTCACGTAACACTATACATAATACATAATTATCAAGATCATTATTTAATTATTCTGTTCCACGAAAATTAAGAAGCAAGATTTAAAATCCCGGTGGCATGAAATCAACCACCAGGTGCGTAAGAGTATATCCCGCTCATTTCGCGGTTCCCTATAAATAATATGACGCAAATATAAAAGCATTTCATTAAACGATTTAATTATCCCTTTATTTTTCGAAAGGGGCAGGAGGGACCCGATATTTCGCACGCGGCTTCATTACATTACACGAAGCACCTACCATGAACGCGCCGTTAATCGTCCCTCGTGCGTTGCGACGCGCGCTGTCTCCCACCTCTCCTCTCAACCCCTCGATGCAATCAAAAAGTACGCGGGCCGAAATAATGACCGTTTCATTCGAAACTCTGCGATTTTAGCTGGCGTGCGTCGACGTATCGGAGGGTCGCCCAACCGACCCACCACTCTCGCACGCACGCACGCACGTACGCACGCAACGCACGCTCATTCTCTCACTCGCTCGCTCACTCGCTCACCCATACATTCACGTGAATGACACACAAGGCCTCGTGTACGGTCTCATTCGCACGCACGCCTCGGCGAGTTGGGCGCGCGCGCGTGTGGGTAACGCGCGCTTCGTGGCGCGCGTGCCGACGATGGCTAGGCCGAAATGCACTTTGCACACGCGAAGTAACAAAAGGCGGAGGTGAAGCATCACATACGTTTGATCGCTACGTACCTTCCCCATTCTTTCGTCTATCCTTCTCCGATCCCCGACTCGTCTCGACCCGACTGCCCTAACTGCGACTCCCGTCCCCCCTCCCCTCCCCCCCCCCCCCTCTCCCCTCCCCCCCTCTCTCTCCCTCTCTCTCTCTCTTCCTCTTTGTTCTTCTTTCGCCTGCCTACCGACCACGGCCTGTCGCCTCGACGTTTTTCACTCCTCTTCCTCCACTTCACTTCCTACTCTTGCGGTCGTTTCGTCGCACACGACGTGCCGCCGCCGCCGCCGCCGCCGCCGCCGTCGACTTTTCGCGCGCGTTGCGAGACAGGGAGATTAAAGGCTGACGCGCGCGCGGAACCCGACGATCCTTATCGCCGCGCCGCGCCGCGCGATGCGTAGAAACGCGCACAGGCTCATCTTCTTCCTCATGGCCTGGCGGCGTTCACCAACGTGAATCGCACGCGACTTAACATATGCGTTGATGCGTAGATCGATATCGGCGATCCGTTAAATGTCAGCGATGCATTCCACGGATAAATCGTCTGGTAGACGAAAAAAAACTGAGTGTCGATCGCGCTTGAAGCAAAAATTTGTATCACTACGTTACTTCAGTACATTATGTAAGAGTTGATACTTAAAATTATTCATTCTTTTCTTATTTGAGATTTAAAATAAAATTAAGATGTTTACTTTCTAGAACTTGAAATTTTTAGGAGAGACAATAAATTTTTTTTATAAGATTTCAATAAATACTGTAAGAGTCAATTTCATTGAGAGAGAATTCAAGAATTAAAATATCTAGTAATGATGTAAAACCAAATGTGTTTTGTTTAACGTACTGATGTAATATTTAGTAAATATTATGTATCGAATGAGAAATGAGTGAGATTAATAACAAAACTTGATGGAAAACGATGAGATGAAACAATATGTGTTTTTATTCGAGAAAATCAATCGAAACTCCTAATGTCAAGACAACAATACTTTTTCTTTGTGAAATTTAATGAGCCATAGGGTAATTTTTGAATTTTACTTTCTAAATTTAAATTCCGTCTCTCTTTCTGAAAATATTGTTCTTTTAATCCTTTTTTCTTGATAATGCAAAATATATAATTGATATCGACAATTAGCGAGCAATAAGTACAATATATGCATCCGCGTATATTCGTGTACATTCTTATGTTTTACGAGTTTTTATAAAAAGAAATCAAGATGACAGTAAAAGACAATACTCAGAAGAGTAGCTGATTTTTTTCTAGTGAGCCTTTTTTATATTTGTTTTATTTTTGTTCTATAGTTTTCGCGACTCCAATTATAGAAAATGATAGATGTAACCTGTGGAATCCCTGTGGAATCTTCTGCTAATTTGCATATATATTTTTGTTTATGTTGCTTTCTTTTTAATTTATTTCAAAATTGTATTTAAAAATTTTCTGATCTTATCTGGAATTTTGAACAAAAATATATGTGCAATCGAAAATCCGGCAATTCTCAATAAATTTTTTTTATAAGATTTCAATAAATACTGTAAGTGTCAATTTCATTGAGAGAGAATTCAAGAATTAAAATATCTAGTAATGATGTAAAACCAAATGTGTTTTGTTTAACGTACTGATGTAATATTTAGTAAATATTATGTATCGAATGAGAAATGAGTGAGATTAATAACAAAACTTGATGGAAAACGATGAGATGAAACAATATGTGTTTTTATTCGAGAAAATCAATCGAAACTCCTAATGTCAAGACAACAATACTTTAGCATTGTTCTTCTTTATGTAAAAAATTGTAGCAAAAAATGTTTACTGTTGTTTTCAGTAGCAATAGCAATTATTTTAATCGAAATTAACAATAATTTAATATTTAATATTAAAAATAAATAAACAAGCACAGAGAAAAAATCCTGAAAAAATTCTAACATAGCTGTCAAACGTATTTTGTTTAGTGTATTGGTGCAATATTTAGTAAAAATTATTAAATATAATAATCAATCATTTATTTAATAATACTTAGAACAGTAAAATTGTTATAATTAGTTTCCATTATATTAAATTGTGATTGAAATTATTTCACCAAAGTTTTAACTATCATCTAGCCATGACTATTTCTATCAGACTTTTCGATATTCTATCGTCATCTATTAAGATTTTCATAAAAATTTATTTATTACGTACTGTATTTAACTCTTTGGTGTCATTACATATGTTGCACTTTTCATAACTAAATGAACAAAACTTTTTTTGGCACCTTCGCAATGCGATCAACTACATACATATATCTCGCAAAGTTGTGTAACTAAAAAAAAAAAAAAAAACAGGACACCTATCTTTCGCGTGGTATCCATCTCCATGAGCATAAACGCATTTAGCCAGCGCTCACCGCGCACAGCGAGTTTTAATTCTCATTTACCCCGAAACCGGAGGGGCGGAGACGCAGTCGAACCAGGCATCGATTAAAAAAAGTAAGCGACACCGAAAGAGACAGGTAGAAAGAAACCGAGAGCGAGAGACAGAGATAGATAGAGTGGAGAAAAAGATCCACTGATATCCAAATCGGTTCCTGCTTCGACGCCGCTTCACGGTGGCTAGGCAATAAAACGGCCCTGAGAGAGACGGAGGCACGACGTGGCGCGCGACGAGGACGCGGCCGCAAGCGAGCGAAGCGTGCAAGAGTGAGAGAGAGAGAGAAAGAGAGAGAGAGAGAGAGAGGGAGAAGGATGAGAATAGGAGACGACCGCACGTAGCCGCAGGCAAGGGCGCGCGTGAGCAGGCAAGCGAGCCTTCCGACCGATCCCTCCGGCCGCGCCGCGCCGTGCCGCGCCACGCTGTGCCGAGTCGAACCTCGCTTCGTCTCGCTTCGTCTCGCTTCGTCTCGCCTCGCCTCGCCTCGCCTTGCTGTGGCTGTGTCGTGCCGCGCTATGCCACGCCATACCGCGCCACGCCACGCCGCGCCATGCCACGCCGCCACCGCCGTCGCCACGCCGAGCGTCGAGCTATCCGTGTGCTCCAGTATCCCCCGCCCCACGCACGACCAACCACGACGCGCGGTGCCCCCCGTCGTTCCTCCTGGCCGTCGCTTACCCATAGCCGACGCGCGGCCTCGGCGCGCCAAGTTCGCCGCGTACAGCCGCCAGCTACCGCTCGCCTCCTCACAGTCCGTCACCGTCGCTCGTCGTGCGAGCACACGCGGACGTTTCCGCAGTCAGGCTGCACGCGCTGCGTGTGTTTTTGTCGTCGTATCGTTGACACCCTGACGGATTTAGATCAGCCCTTGGGTGCTGGTAGTAGTATGCACGAGGGTGAATTCCCACGTTGCTCTTTCGATCCAGCGCTCATAAATTTCCGCGGTTCAGGAAATTAAAGAAAAAAAATTGGATTTTTTTTTTCGGTATTGCAGAAAGGACCTTTTTTTTTCGAAGGAAGATCGAGTGATTCGCGACTCGATTGCGATCTCGACTGTTGACAGAGGCGCCTCCTTTCAGTGTGAAAGATTCAGTGAAAGCGGGACGTTACTCGTCTATCGCGTGAGAAACTTGTGAACGAGTGCATTCGTCGATTGTTTATCGACTGTTAACTGTACTGTGGGACAATTGTTGACAGGGGTGAGAAGTTTGACGAGAAACAGCAGGAGCGAACGTGCCACGACAGCCGTTTCGCCCCGTGAGTGACAAGTGGTCGGCGACGCGTGGTTAACCACGTGGCGCGGTGTGTGCGCCGGTGTACAGCAGTAGCTCGGGTGGCGCGTGAACTTTCGCGGGACTCTCTTTCTGTGCTAAACTATCACGCGTGCACACGACGACAGGCAAGTGACAGGTAGTCGTCGGTCGTTGGTCTACGCGAGCGAATGGAACGCTTTGCGGCTTACATCAAACGTTTTCGCTCTTTAGCCTGAGAAAGTTAACGATCGACCTTCGCCCATCGGTCTCTCTTTCTCGAGACGGTCGAGAGCATGGTGCAACAGTGATTAGTCCGTCGTATATCATCGTCGGTGGCCAACAGCAGTTGCAAAGGGAAGAGCGCGGGGTCCAGTGGTGGGTAATCTGGTCTCGCAGTCGCAGGCCGCCGCGAGATGCTGAGAGCCTCAGCCGTCCAGTCCAGCCAATCACGTAGGGTGCTGCGATCTGTGCCGAGGGCCGTCGCGGCCTGCTAAGATGACCGCGCGTTTACACTCGCTGAGGCACCAGGAGAAGAAATCAGCCGGCAGCAGCCACAGGCAGCACCACCAGCATCAACAGGCCGTGCATCAGGGTCCGAGCCCGGCACCGAGCCCCAGCCCCAGCCTCAGCCCGAGCCCGAAACATTCGGACGGTCGAAGAGTGAGTACAAGCAGCATTCGAACCATCAGTTTCATGAAAAACTCTCCGGAGTTTCACACCAATCTGTAACTCGGTTACTGATCGTTTGTAAGATCATTTAATAATTTGTGTTAACCAAAAGGCATTTTTTTTATTTACTCAGAAATGCTAAATATATTTTTAATAAAGGTAATCCAAATTTGTAACATAAAGAAAGTTGAATTTTTTCACAAAGAGTTTTACAACGAATGGATTCAATAAAGTTGACACCGTCAACTTGGGGGAGTTGAGAGAGGATATCGGTTACTTTTATGCGAGATTTCGGGATCAGCGGTACATTAATGTTCCTAAAATATTAATCGAGAAAAATGTACGAGGTGCGTGCGAGAGTGAAGTTTAAAAATTGCAGCGCAAGCGCGGAGGTACGGATTTAATTCGAGAATTTAAGAATGAAAGGAAAAAAGTAGATGACTCGACCGTGGCAATGCGATATCTTCATCCCTTGCAATGTACACCGACTATGCGTGCCAAAACGCAACTCATCCTACCTCCCAATTTACCTTCTGCGCACTTAATCTGCGATTGTAAGTCCTGTGACGCGAATCCGATACTGGACACGTGCATCGTTTATACAACCGCTCGTCATCCAATCCCTACGTGAGAATTCGCTGATTTGACAGATGAACCTTCAAGTATATGGAAAACGCGACAGTGCGATACCTGTGTAAACTACAATCTACAATGAGATTTCAAACTTTGAGTCTTAATTCGTAAGAAACTACTCACAGAAATGCGAGGGGAATAATCGATTATAATTTGCCAATTTCTTACGACTTAAGGCGTAAAGTTTTATGCCTTAAAATCTCATCGTAGATAACCACCACTTTAGATAAACACGAAATGCGTTGCTGCGAAAAATATTTCCTTTCCTCGATGATACAAAATTAACTTTCCTTCCGTTCGCGATAGAGTACTCTCAATTTTAATTTTATTTACTTTCATTTATCAAAATACTTTTTATTATCGACATATTGACTTATATTGATTTAAGCAAAATACTTCTTACTTTGGCTGTCGAATAAAGTTTATTACGATGATGAAATTATTTTAAGATTAACCATAAATCATCGAGATTACATTTCCAAGATTTTACTTGTACTTTCGAACTGTGAAAAATGTAAAGGAAGAGATAACATTGCCAGTCGCGACGTTCAGCATGACTCTAGGAAAAGTTGGCGATTAAAAACTTGTGGTAAAAAGGAGCGCCAGCTCGACATTACTTCTGACCCCGCATCCTCTCTGTAATCTCTGCGATGTGGGTCAGTGCCGGTCAACTCGGCAGATTCAGCGAGATCGCGGATTTCGAAGGTCCGACCTTCGCTCGTTTCCGGATCGTTAAAAAAAAATGCACGCCGGTGATAGATGCGCTGCACGGGGGCATAAAATGGATATCGCTCTCCACGTGGACGCGCCGTTGAAATCGCAACGAAACGCGGTACATACACGAACCGTTGAGCCATTAAGCGGCGAGATACGCGTGCCGATAGGCGAGATTGGAATACACCGTGAGGAAAGATAAAATTCGATACGTTAGAACTGATCGTATCGTCATCACGCATATGCCGACATTTCTACCAATGTAGATTAATTTTAACCTTGTTTCAACTTATTCTTTAGCTTTTCCTTAACTTCACCATCTACCTTGTAATCTGTCTCTCTCGATGCGAATGAAACGAAAGTTTCAATCTCAAATTTCACCCTCCTTTTTGCTCGAATTTCGATTGTTATTAAATAAAGATTCTTAACATTTGAGTTTAAAAATTATTCAGTAATAATAGAGATGTTCAAAAGTAGACCCTAGATTTTTAAAGCTTAAAACTGAAGAACAGTACGAAAAACTTTGCCTAGACTTAGATTGCGATCGGAAAGAATAAAAATAAGGTTTGCAAATGAAGAGTTAAGAATCGGAAAAAGATTAAGAGTAAGTTGAACCGAGATTAAAGTTATTCTACATTGGTAGAAACGGGCATTAGTGATATAATTCTTTGTATAATTAAATTGTTTATATCAAGATGACAATTCTAAAAGAGGCAATCGTTCCATCAATTTTTCCGAATTATGACCTGAATTTTTATTTTTTTATTTTTTTGTTAACTCGTGGTTTACACTCATCTCACTTAACTTAATATAAAAATTGTACTTTTCTAGCTATAATTATTAACTGTTGATTTTTTAATGGTAACTCTAATCGGGCAAGATTTTTCATTTCCTAGAGTGAACTTACAGTTTAGATTTAATCTCATTTAACTTGACGATGACATAAAAATTGTATTTATCTTAACTATTACGATTAATCGTTAAACTTTCAAAGTTCCTATGGATCAGTTTAGTGATTAACTTTAGCTAGAAAGACACAATACAATTTTTATGTTATCATCAGGTTAAGTCTGACCTAACCACAGGTTGGTCCAAAAAATGAAAAACCGAGCCTTCATAACGAAACCGTTGGGTTATTCAGAGCACGTGATAAGTACATTTCCTTTACTTCTTGTGGTGCATCAAAACGCAGCGGGTCGCAAGGGCATGTCGCGGCACGAACGCTGCGTGTCGGAGCCTTGTGACGCCAATTTGCGGTAATTGGACGTATTTACGAGCAGTTATCATATAGATCGACCCGCCCGCGCGGTCGGCGTCGCTCAAAAAGTTGTAATCCAATTAATTCGTCGGTTAAAATTCAAACGTGGAGGGATCTAAAGATGCTACTGTACTAGAATTTATCATCTGTTTTTTTCTTGTACTCTCTTTTTCCAAATTGCGCGAAATATTCGCGAAATTACTCGACAAAAGATAAAAATAATTAAAGGTAAAGATTAACACGCGGATTCGACCTCGCATGACGCGCAAAGACGCGCAAAGACGCGCGAAGACGCGCAAGGACTCGTTCCGCGAAGTTTTGAGTACCGAGAATACTCGCGCGTGATCTCCACGGTGCACGCGTGCGTCAAATGCGGCATGGGTACCCTTTTAAGGTGATCCACGTTGCGTGTGAGAGAGTACGTTCGCTCGAGCGCGCCTCGAGCGCGAGCGACGGTCTTCCTATTAGGAAAGTTTCCACAGTGACGAAAGGACGTAACTTCGTGCACTCGTCTTTATTAGCGGAGTGAATTCGAAGCGAGATACGCGCAGATGTACTTAATAGTGCAGGAATTTTAAATAAAAAAAGTTTTAAATTTTCAGTGAAATTTTTAGAATTTGTCCGTTTCAAATGTAAAAAGAGAAGTAAGATACGTAGATATTAATCATTAATAAATCATAATTGTGGTTCATACTTAGAAAAGTATTTTGTATATGTGGCTTACAAAAACTCTTTAATTAAAAAATTTTTTGATTAAAACAACATTTCTAAATTTAAGAAGTAAGAAAGTTTTTGTAAATTAAGTGAGTTAAATATTTTGTTGTAATCAAAATTTGATTATTCTATGATGTCGATGTTTTTCTCAAGTGTGGGCGTATTTGTTTGTTAATTTTCACCTGCAAAATACTTTGCATTCTCATTAATTAATGAATCATGTGTCTCCTACATGTTCTTAATCCGCTCCAGGTTCGCTTCATACAAAACAATGTACAGTAAAAATTGTATGATTGAATTCTCCACAATATGAATTTTAACTGTTTTATCAGTAATAGAGATCTTTGGAAAACAAAACAAATTTTTTACTGTTTCGGATTATTACCAAAATCTGAAAAAATTCTGGTATACTTATCAAAGCTTTAACGAGTTTTTACCATCGTAAAAGTTGAATTATATTTTATTTTTTACAGATTTATAAATGTACCAAAACTCACAAATAAAATATCGATGGTGTCTTTAAAGATCTCAGTTGCCGTCGGAGGGTTAAACTTTCTGTTTTATCGCACTTTGTTTTCGTTTGTCTTCCTCTTCATGTTGAAAACGCAATTTTCCTTCCCTCATTCATGTAGTCTGGTAAACAACTAAAGGAAGCGAAATAATTAATCTCACGCATAGTGATGCTATGAATAAAAGATCCACTAACACTTTGAAATTTTGTCTAATCAGACTTATTATATTTAATCGAAGTTGAACGATTGAATAATAAAACATAAAAGAATTTCTCACCTTTGCTTGAAAATCTCCTTTTTCTCTTCTTGTGATAAAAAATTCGAATTTTTATTATGTCGTGGGATTATTATTATTGCGAGATCGGATGGCTAAAGGAATTTCCAAAAAGACGTCATTGATCTAGTGAGGGTGATGAAACCTCGCAGGATTTCGAAACTGAAAGAGAAGAAAGGGGAAAAAGAGGAAAATAACGAAAGAGATAGGAGATGCAATGGACGCCGGTCGTCGTCGGGCGACGGTTTAATTGACGGCACTTAATGGATTGTCGTTATGCCCGGCTTAATTACCTGTCGCTCGTTGCCGCTAGTTCGCGCATTTTAATCGATTTATCATACGCGAGACGAAGGCGACGACGTGCCCGAATATGAAAATGCAATGGACGGACATGCGATATCACATCTTTAAATGGAAGCGATTTTAGCGAATTTTTAAAAAATGAACTTTCACCGCACTTTTTTTACACGAAAAGAACGATTTTGCTAAAGTACTTAAAAATTTAGCTAAATATGAGTCTGAAAATAATTTTGTTGGATCATCAAAATAATCATATACGCTCAATAGGATTGTCACAAAACCGGAAATCAAGAAAATGAGGGAAATCAGGAAAGCATTAAAGAATTTTGAAAAATTTTTGGAAAATTTTTATTGGAAAAATAAAGTTTTACAGAAAGATTAATATGTGCATATCACACCTATCAATTTTAGATACAACTTAACAATTAAATGCGGTGTCAGCAATTAACATTAATAGTAATAATTTACATCAAAATAATTTACATTAAATTGTCCTTTCAATAAAATATTTGATTAAATCAAGACAAAAATAGAAAAAAATTTCAAAATATTATTGAAAGAATCATCGTGTGCATTCTATATAATATTTTGACGGTCCAAACAAAATTATTTTTAGATGTGCATCTACCTAATTTTTTAGATACTTCAATAAAACTATTCTTTTCTAGTAAAAACTAGTCCAAAGCAGTAAATTAAATCTTGACATTTTTTATGAGGCATCTGTTCAATAAACTTTAACAATAACTAACAGTGATATTATTGTTACAATTTTCTACTCAACGATAGAACTGTTACGTTATGTTACATTTGTATTGTTGAGTAGAAAAATATAATATTGATATAATGTGTTACTGTTAGTGTTGACCAAATATATATCTGTAGAAAGAAAAATAAATGTAGAATTATTTTTTTGAATACAAGCGCTATTAAGTTTAAATGTCGGTCAACTTCGATATTTTCTGACGACAATGCGATTGGCACAAACTTTTCTTGTTAAGGATGACGTTCCTCACGTATTATATATGAAAATAATTTACGATAATAAGTGTTTATATAAAGATTTACCTCTGTATCGTACTTTTTTAGCTTTGATATACACTTGTACCGAAAAAAAAAAAAAAAAATGACCGTGACCGACTCACTATTAGCGATGACTGTTGTTAAAACAGTCTGGCTGGAAAAAAAATTCCAGCGGTTCGCGAGGTGGTTTGCACGTCGATGCTGATTCACAATGCCGTCGCCGTACGTGACGCGAAGTCGCAAACAACGAGAATGTGATTTATCGCGCGTAACGCGCTAATCGGCGGCACTGTCAAAGTCACGCCGTCACGCCGCTGCGCCGCTCACAGTCTGTCCCCTTTATCTCCCTTCTCTTTTTTCGCGCCTATCTTTCTAAGTCACGCCAGCTGGAAAGAGCGTCACGGCGCTCGCGGAATTATCTCGAGGAATACAATTTTTCGGTGGCTATCGGAAAACGCGATGGAATTGAAGTCTCGTGAAAGGAGACTCTTCTCCTTCCTCTTCGAAAGACGAGGAGCAATTATGGATGTATTTTAATAAAACGAAAAAATTGTGAAAGTTTATCTGTATTATATATTTGAAAGTAATACAAAAAGTTCGGCGGCAATTTAGAATCTGGATAAGAAATTATTTCAATAAGTAGACATGTTTTTAAAAAATAATTAAGATAGAATGAGAAAGTTCTTAAATTATAAAATTATATTGCGTTAAATATAAATATTAACGCATTCATTTTTATATGAAAAGTACAAGTTTCCAGTTTTTAGTCACTTTTTACAGAGATTATATATCTGATACATCTTTAAACATTCGAAAAGAAAATTATCAGATAAAACAAAAAAAAAAACAAAATTTGATATGACTAAATAATTCTTTCGAGCAATTAAAATATCAATACTTTATTAACAAAAATTTAACAGAAGAAAATCGCGAGACTTTTCTTCAAGTACCATCGATAGACGATACTGTTGTATTATCCGCCGAAAGCATCGTCAGCTTTCGTTCAAGGAACGGAATCAAAGCGAAAGGAAAAGGAAGGGAGAACAAATGGTCCACGACTAACCCAGTTTCAGCCTCCGAATCGCCGAGGTGTAATTTAAACGCCTCTATTACAAAATTCCTCTCCCGCTTCACCCGCAGGCAAACGCATCCGTATTCAGTACACACACACACACACGCACACACACACAAATGCACGCAGCGCAATACACAAGAGAGAAGAGAGAGAGAGCGAGACCCATGCGAGAAGTCCATCGTCGACAGACGCACGTCTCGCCCTCCCTCCACCGCGCTGCCCCTCGCCCCTCCCTCCTCGCCCGCCCTTCATGCGCGCCTCTCGTAATAATAGAAGGACGCGACGGAGCAAGAGTGCCGCGCCGGTTGGCGACGTGCGGCGACGACACGCGCGCACGTTACACGCACAAGCGTGACACACGCACGCGTGCACACGAATACGCATGACCGCGCGGCGGTTCGCTCGTTTGTTTACCCGTCGCGGCGCTCCCGTGTGAACGCACCGCGCCGACTTCGCCTCGTCTTCCTCCCCCTCGCCCCCCTTCGATCCCTTCTTCTCGACTTACTCTTCGTCGTCGTCGCCGTCGACGTATCTGTGGTGCTGCGCCCCGCTCGCTCCCGCACGCGTCCACGTCTTGTTATCCTCGCCGACCGTCTCTCCGCCTCTCCGTCGCTCTCACGTGGTAGTCATAATTTCCTCCCTCTCTCCCCCCTCCTCCCCCCTTTCTCGTTAGAGCCGACTTTGCTCGTCTTCGTCGTTCCGCACGGCGCTTTTGCTCGCGATCTCCGTCTCTGTCCATCCTCGCTATCCATCTCTCTCTTTCTGCGGCGCTCCGTAGCTCTCTCGCTACCTTCGTCTCTCGCGGGAATACCCATCGTCTCCTTTTCATCCGCTCTCTCGCCGTCTCTCTTCTCCCCGACCGTCTTCTCTCGATCCACGCCGTGAATATCTGTCGTCTCCCGCCTCGGCGGCGGACGTGCCTTTGCCGGTCCGGCCTCGCTTTGCCGTTTTCGCACGCTATCCTCTTTCCACGTGGAACGTCGGCGTTTACTTTTTTTGTGTCTCCACAAGCGCGTGTACTCCTCGTCTCTTTCGCCTCCAAATCGTCCCTCCGCAATTCCGGTCCTTTCATGGTTCTCATCTCGATAGATTAACTATTAGAGCACGCGGCAAAATTATCGCAGGGGCACCTGAGTTGCACGAGAGTTAAATTTGCCCGCTGAGCTTCCGAGACACCCAGTGTATATACGCCTTCGCCTCCGTCATCCATTTCGGTCCTGATCCACTTTATTCGGCTCTATCTCCGCTCATCTACGAAGTGCGGCTGTCGCACGTCTCGGATGATCGTCCTCTTTTCCCCTCGACCGCGTTTGCCGCTCAAACCGTGTCTTGGTGAACGACGTCGGCACATCGCCAGCGAGCGGAGAGCCACAAAGAAGTGAAAGATTATTCGGCACGTTGAGACGCTCGTAAAGGAGACCGGCCTGGGTCTCTGAAAACCTAGTATTTAACGACTTTTGAAGTGTGGTACGCGCGACTCCTTGAGTCGGAAATCCAAGAAGAGAGCCGTAGAAGAAGAAAGGACTGGTCTTTTGCCAATGCGACCGTACCTTCCGTATGCTTCCCATGGAAGAACATCGATATTTCAGACTTGACAATGTGAGATGTGACTCCACCGGCTGCAACAACGTTCGAACCTTCTTGAGAATGAAATGGGAACGAAGCGAACGTGAAAAGGTAGTGCAGCGTTCCTGAAGGAATGGAAATCGACTGAAGAAGTAGAAGAAGAAGAAGAAGGCGAGAAACCGATCCCGTCCAGCTCGCGGACCTTATCTGGACCTAAACCTGCTTACGTTCAATCTGGAACCGGTAATGTCCTCGTAAAATCGTCCTAGACCACCCAGACTCTGCGCTTACCTTGAATCTAGTTTCGAGAAAAAGAGACACGGAAGCGCGTGAAATAGGTTGATACTCTCGATAGCGTCTGGACTTGGCACCGGTCTGGACTTGGACGCATCCGCCTTCCTCTCTCTTTCTTTTCCTCTCCTACCTCCCGGATGCTCTGTGTCATTCTCTCGCCGTTGTTTCGCTCGCTCGCTCGCTCGCTCGTCACGCTCATCGCCGGCGGCATCTCGTAAATCAACCTCTTCCGCGAAGAGCGGACAAAAAAAAATAATAGTACTCCGGCTAGGATAGAGGAACGTGCTGCATCTAGGCAACACGTTGACCTACTGTCGCTAATTGTAAGAACTCGGACGAAAGCTATTTCAAATTATTATTTTTTTTTTCTAGCATAAAGAACCTCGGGTTCCGAGGCAACGCCTTATATACTTTTGTGGTCTACCTTATCGAGAAACACGTAGTAATCGGTATTTCAGATTGGAATGTTCAAAAAACTATGGCTTGATTCATATTGATGAATATGATTAAAAAATAAAACCTAGTTAAATGAGATCAAAAGTTTTAATGAATCCTGAACACCTCTCGACTTTTCAAATAACAAACATCTCGCAAACAATAGTAAACAGACATATAAACAAAGGATCGAACAAAGGATCGTAACATCGCTGAATTTATAATATATGTAAGTAATAGGGTCGTCTGTCGATTCGAACTGTTAATTTTGTTCGTGAAATTTCTAGGATTGTGAATACTTAAAAGATGCGATTATGTTCAGCTAATTCGATGTGCGGAAGGAGACTTAGCGTCACACTTTTTAAATTATTCTTTGTCGCAAGAGTTCATGGTTTCAGTTCCATGATAATTTGATAATTCGTCGATTACTTGCATTGCTTTGAATAAGTGCGAATTTCAGTATCTCATAAATTTCGCACCACTTATATTTCTTATTAAAAACATTATCTATAAATATTGTACGTAGTGTGAATAATTTGATGTAATCAATAGATTAAAGATTGCACGGTTTGCAGAATCAGATATATGTATATAAATTCACACAAAAATATTTAAACACAAGGTCGATAGTCAATTTTTATATTTGAGACTGACTTAAGATGTCATAAGCCAATCAGAGAATCGTATTAGCATCTTAAGACATTGCTTAAGACGGTTTTAAAATAAGAATGGATTATGAATATTATTCTAAGATACGCTTTGACTGAATGTAGGATTTCTTTTATTTAATTATACTTATTCTTAATCAATCCAAATTTGTATCATAATTGTTAATCAATAGATATTCAACTTTATTTATTATTAATAGATACAAATACTATAAAAACATCATCTCGATTCCCTCACTTGCAATACATTCCGTGATACATTCTCTTGAACAGAATAATTGTTGCTTGATGGATAATCGTTCTGCTCTTCTCTGAGACTTACAGGTCACGTTGTTGATAGATGTGTTAAAGAAATATCGTTTTTCTGCCTCCTCTTTTTCAGGCTAACAAACCACTAATGGAAAAACGACGACGAGCAAGGATCAACCAGTCCTTGGCGGCGCTGAAGGCGCTCATCCTTGACAGCGCCCGCCTGGAGAACACCAAGCACAGCAAGCTTGAGAAAGCCGATATCTTGGAGCTTACGGTCAGGCATCTGCAGCGGCAGAGATCGCTCGCTCAGCCCGGCCTGTCCAGGTACAAGGCGGGATACCAGGATTGCTCCAGAGAGGTAAGAGCACTTTTCTAATTTTGGAGATAACGTAACATATTTTTTTTTTTAAATTCACCAAGGTTTTTAGAGTAAGATATAACACAGGCCACTAAAATTTTAGTTCGACAAAAAAGGAAAGCTATAGTTGAAAAATATATCATTCACTTGCCACAACAAGACGTAACTTAAAAATTATTTTTTAATTAATTGCAGAAAAAGAACTTTTTAAAATTCTTCTTTAATTTATAATTATTACATAAACTTAATTATTGCACTTTAGGATTAATATTTTAAAATTCTAATGATTCAAAACTTATTGAAACTCTTTCTCTGGAAAACTTTGTTTTTTGTTAATTGTGTTGTTGCTGTACACACAGAAAAATATATATCGTACGCAAGTAATAATAACTTGTTTCAAGTATTTCAATAGTTTATTAATATATCCGCAAATCTGTCATAGGTTCATTATAAGCATCAAATTTATTCGAAATATATTCTGAATCCTATTAAGTTTAATACTTCAATCAAGATTATTAAATTAAAACAAATTCGATTTGTTTATAAAATCGCTTGTTCGATCAATTTTAAAATATTTTTAAGAAAAAAATAAATTTCTATTTAAAATACATAATAATGAGTTTTTTCAAAATTTGTAATAGATACATTTTAAGATTATTATTGTAAAAAAATATTTTTGTTAAAGATCACCGTTACTTGAAAGAGAGAAAGTAAAGTTGAGTAGTCACTTTTCTTACCAATAGATAGATATATCTTTCTGTGTGTAGCAAATGAGTGATATCTTTTTTGTTTCGATAAACCTGACTGATACCATATCTCTGAGAACAAAACGAGAATCGTGTCGGTGAAGCAAGTCTGACGTGGAAAAACGTGGGTTTTGTGCGTCACGTTTGCCATTATACTCCGCACGTTTCGTCACGGGGTAGCACGAGAAAGGGACGCGCGGGCGTGGATGAGGTAGCGCAGAGGGTGGTGAAAAAATTCCAGCACGTCCAGGGAGGCGTGTAATCGGAGAACTCGGCGGAACTGGTTCGTGTTACATGACGGATAGGGATGGGGAAGAAGAGATTCTACTCGGTGGAAGAATCTACCCGAAACCACCCTACCTCCTCCCCTCCCCTCCCCCCTTCTCCCTCTCTCTCTCTCTCTCTCTTTTTCTCTCTTATTCCCTTTCTCTTTGGACGATGCGACGATAGGTATCTTAACGTATCGGGTTGTCGTCAAGAAGTCTCGCGTGACTCCGCGAAGCTCAATCGCTCGTTCGTTAAGGAATGTCCAGTCGCAAAACGAGGGGAAACTCGTTGAAAGCGGACACCCTGTAAGTGCTATTGCGCAGAATTTGCCGGATGAACCTTGCGGTCGGGTCTCCGGTAGAATCAGATAGTCAACCGATTGGAGGAAGTGGGAAGGAAACAGCCCTTTAGTTTTCGGTTTCTTCGTACGAAGATTCAGCATAAAATGACCGGAATTGTATGTAAATAAAGGCAATCAATTTCTATATATAGTAAATACTACATTGATGTATTTCGGTAATTGTGACTCCGAATTGATAATGATATATAATATGTATCTTTTAATAATAAATTAAATATTATTGTACTTTATATTAAATGTCATGCCACACGGAAACATCATACTGAGAAAAAAACTAAATATGATCAAATATAGAAATTTCCATATTTAATTAGATTTATTCTTATCGGTCTAAATTCGTATCATATTAAATTAATTTAATTAACTTTATTTTTTTGTTGAAGAATGTATGTGGGTTAGATATATAAAAAATTTAAGTTTAATATGTTTGTACCTAAAAATTTAGCAAAATACTATCAAAATAATTATATAGGGCATTCAAGCACGATTAACAATACAGCAAAAAAGTTTTGACATTCTAACAACTATCTTTAGCATTCTACATAATTTTTCTGGTCTACAAAATTATTTTCAGACCTGTATAAATTCTTAAATATTTTAATAAAATCATTTCCACCTATATTTTCCTTCGGAGAGCATTAAAAAAAGCATTCAATTTTAAAGAAATGCAAAAACTTTACAAATTTTTATAGAATGTAATGTAATTGAAGTGAGAAAGATTATGGTTTTGCAAAAATCATAATCTTCTGTTATTACATAGAAATTTAACATTCATATGTCAGATTCGTGACATTTGATTGTTATCCCTCCATCAAATTCCATTTTTTTCCCTTTGTTTACGATCCGAGTCTTTTTTTTTTGTTCAAATTCAAACTTTTAAATTCTTAGGCTTTCAAAAAAGGTGAAAAAAAATACAGAGATTACTTTTGAACATTTCTATTACACTACCAAATAATTTCTTAATTCAAAAATTTTTTTTTATCAAAATAAAGTATTTAATAAAAATAGAATTTTAACAAAAATGAGGATGAAATTTATGCCTTACACCAAAAAAAGATTGCAGATGGAGATTTAAGTCGTTACGTAACCCTTATATCTTCTGCATTTTACCTTTCTCTCTCGCAATACGTATTGAATTAATAATAGCATTAAACAGTAGTCCCATTTACAGGTATCTACCAGTCCCTTGACAAACCCGTTATTCGAGACGTATTTTTTTCGAGCACCTCGGCCCCGTCTACGCGATACATCGTGGCATTTCCGTCTTATATCTTCGTCGGTACGGCGCGGCACGACACAGCACAAGCGTGCCGTAGAACTCGAGGCGTCGAGTCGATTGTCGGCTCGCTCGCCTCAACAAAGCGCACTTGTCACGGCACAAAGCCCGGCCGTGCGCGCTTGTACCTGTCGCGCGACCGCCTTATCAGAATACTCACCGATAAAGTCGCCGACTTCCGACTCTCCTGCCGCTGGGATACTGCCGATCGAAAGATGCAGCCCGCATGGGGCCGCGCGTGCTAGGAAGTAACCGTGCCCTGGCGTCCGATAAAGGAGGAACAAATTGGGAAGTTATTGCTATCGTTGAAAAATCACGTACACCTGTATCCTCGGCGAGCGTTTTAATCTTCCGCGGGGGTCTCACGTCGAAGAACAATCACTGTAATAAAACTGTTACATAATTCTTACGAAATTGCTTTTCAAATTTCACTGCAACCTTTGTCGAACCATTTTGTTGCAGCCGCGTAATTATTTTCGAGCATATATTATTCATATATGTATTATATATATATGTGTGTACTATATATATAACGCACGAGTGTTAATTGAAAAGTTCTGAGATTGTATTGTACATATTCCGCGCGCAATTGCGTAACGCCGCGATGACGGCCTGCAAGGCCAAGGTCTTCTGCTTGCACACCGATCTAGAGAGCAGTAAGTAAGCTTTCACGCTCTATAATTCGCTATATGTTCTAGAATATGGCTCGAGTAGATGTTTCTTTAATTGCGCCAAAAAGGCGCCTCGAAAAAGCAATTGAGAAACTTTCGAAGTGTCAAATCAATCGTACAATGAACAGGCAGCAACTCCGAGAGCTCAAAAACGTACAACGTGAATTCTGTGACATCCTCTTTAAGAAGGCGACTGGAGTATCTCTTCCATTCTTGCGACAAAGGAATAAATGAAAATGGTAACATCAGGCTCTCTTTCAGATGTCATTTCGTCACTTATCTTTCTTGATCATTTCATGATCTCGAAAAATTTGGGTAAGAGAAAATCTCTTCCTGATGAAAAACAAGAAACAGCAGCCGTTTCTTTAAAGAGGATGATACAAAATTCGTCACTAAACGTTCTCCAATTGTTTTAAAATGTAATAAAAAGTGTATGTATTCGATAGATCATTGATACATGAAGGTAGTTTTCTTCCAATGTCACAGCATCAAAAATAGAACGATACAGGGAATTTTTCCATCAGTTAAAGGAACTGGTTTAACGACGTATACATAAACATGGACATGAAACTAAAAAAATCAACGTGTTAAAAATTATATCTGTATATTACATTTTTTATTCTTATTTTTTTACTTATTAACAATCGATACGCAAAAATAAGCCTCAGTTAATTTGCCAACTTCGCGCGGAGATTTGGAAATTTCTTTCGTGTTTATTTTTACTAATACAGATCAGCTTTAATCTTGTCTTTTTCTCGTTCTAAAAAATAAAAATAAAAAATAAATTAATCGAAAGTGTAATTAATCTATATTGGTATCATATAGAGAGAAATTGATATTAAAACGTTAGAAAAAGAGTCTGGTTATTTTAATTGAAATTCTAATGAAAAATAGATAACACAGAATTTCCTGATTAAATCTATTAGAATTCTAGTCGAGATAACCAGATACGCCCAATTATAATGAGCAGATTTCTAGTTGATATGATCAGCGTATATTGGTTCGTTTTCAACCAGAAATTTTTCTCAATGAATGTAAAATCTTTTAATTTCGACTGCAGAAATAGATCACGGGATGGGAAGGAAATTTTGCAACTCTACATTTCGGGGAGCTAGAAGAGCGTGCCTGAAATTTCGGATGGCGAGTTGAGCACCGGGCAAAATCACGACGCGTGTGATGTACGAAGCGAGGAAGGAAGGAAGGAAGAAAGACAAAAAGAAAAGAAGTAGCATAAGTCCCTGCGAGCCAAACTTTATGGTCTTATAAAACCAGCGGTCGACCAAGGCGACATGTTCTCTGTACCATCGCTCGCGATCTTTCCCATCCTTTCTACGGGATCTCGTCTCATCCGTCGAAAGTATTGTACATTTCTGCTCGTCTCTGCAAGCGCAAAATGCACTATGCCGTCATTCGTTCCTTCCTCTCGAGATGAAGGAGTAAAATGGAAAACTAACGCGGCGAAATATTCCCAGGCGGTATTTCCCAGAAACTCCGGGAGATCGGTAGCGCATGAAGATTAACGGGTTCCGAGAAATTCTTAGAGCAAGTGCAATCGTGTAATAAACTGTAAATCGGTTTCTTTGAAACGGATCTCAACTTGACGAAATTTTGAAACTAAACCAGTCATACACTCGACGTTGAAGGCCAGTTGTCGAATTTTCTTTGAAATACTCGACTACGAACGTGTTGAGGGATCCAGGGTATTCGTATATGTATATATTCCTAGGATAGAGGAATGACGCGGTACACTTTGAGAGAGAGAGAGAAACGCGATGCACACGAAAACCAGGTCAAAAACTACCCACCCACGCGTAGATGTTTTCTCTTTTACATGGAATACGTAAATGTTGTATGAAGAAATCTATTCCTAAAATATACTTATGTGTGTACTGAAGGGCAAAAAAGTTTAGCAACAAAGTTTTGTTTATCAAATCATTAATAATGTATATTTACAAACGAAACGACTCTGGAATTTAGTTAGTTATTAGCTTGTTAAATGCTAAAGATAGTAAATAGCATTCAAAATTGTTATTTTTAATACGAGCTTTATTAAGGCGCTTCGAAAATACATTAACGATGGTCGCGCTTCTTTCCATGGATAAGTTCTCTCTACCAGGCAACCAACGATCTTCAATTCAATGTAATCTTTTGGTGTAATCTTTTTGATATTTAATTAGAACGAAACTAACACAATACTTCAGAATTTGTTTTCTTTTAATGTATTACCGCTTTAATAAAAATGTAACAAAACTAAAATTGTCCACTTTTTAGATAAAGACAAAATCAATTCTAAAGACTATTTTTGTTAAAAATAATACATATTTTTTATTGGCAGAACGATACGTCTGTAACTCTCAATTTACCGCTAGAACACAAAAGTATCGCTCGTCATCTGATTAAATTCGCAATGATTGTTTATAGAACAGATAATTTATAGGCATTTTGGAGTGATACTGTGAAGGATCGTTGTATTTCGAGTCATGTCATTTTTCCTTAAAAGGTTCCTTGAAACGTTGTCCCAATTGAAGAGAATTTTAAAAATATTCTTCTGAAAAAAAAGTTATCAATTTTGAGCTGTCACTTTTTTATCAAAGCAGCGAATTATTACCTAGGTAGAGCAAACTGACGACATTTGTCGTCGTTATTTTGATATCTTCAAATATCATTTTAACAACAAATAGCGTCAACTGAGTGTGTCATCTGAGTAATAATTTGATAAATATACAAAACTTTATAGCCAAACTTTTTTGCCACTTTGTACACCAAAGACTATCGATTGTTATTAATTGCCCTCTTTTCCTGGTATTGATTTAAATTAATTTCTAATTCTTCAGAAACGTCCACAGAGTCGAAAATACGAATTCCGCTTCTCCTAATTGCTAACGCGCGCGATTAACCCACATTCGCAGATATCTATCCGATGCGCGATCTTTTCATGCCCTCGAAGTCGTCGGTCTCTTTTCAACGCGCGGCGGCGGCGGCGGCGGCGGCGGTTGCTTTATTTTGAAGCAGCGACCCATAAAAGCTCTCTCGCGCATTCGCGGCTCGCCGCAAAACTATTGTCCCGCCAGTGCAGCGCAGCAGCAGCAGCGACGACGATAATTCTGCCGGCGTGCAATGCACGCTCGATACGCCGCCGTGTAAAATATAGCGCGCGATACGCTATGCGATTAGAGATCAATCGCGCCGCTTCCGCCCGAATCGCCGCCGCTTCCACTCGTAATTCGGCTCTCTTCCGGTCTACCGCAAGCTCGTGTCGCGGCGGTCGCGCGTTACTGACTTTTTCAGCGATTCATCGTCGTTTTTTCGCGCGCACGTACCATCGTTTAAATGCGATGTAATTTGCGAATACAATTTCCTAGTTTTCGAAATTTCAGATCCACGCTGATGACTTCTCGAATTTCTTCTTAACTTGCGAAAAAAAATGCAGAGACGCTTGCCACGCAATATATTAAAGTGATGGAAAGGACTCACTCTGCAAAAAATCATATCAATAATTCTCTCGCGCATAATCGAATCGTAACCAATAATATGGCGATTGTAATATTTGCCAATCAGTTTCTATTCAAATAAAGAGCTACAGTTGGATTTAGAAAATCAACCAATAAAGGCGAAGTAACTTCACTAACTTTACTTTTATATATTGCTTGCGGACAACTAACAAATGTGGCGATTATTTAACATTCAGATTAAAGCCAATACAGAGACCCGATTTTTTATTTTCTGATTGACTTTTGGCTTAGATTTAAACTCGCTCAATCCGATAATAATGTAAAAATTGTATTTTTCTAGCTATGATTTATCACTAAACTGGTGATTTTGTGTAACAGTAACTTTACATGGAAAGAACTGTTTTGCTAAAGTGTTTAAAAATTTAACTAGATACAAATTTGAAAATAAATTTCATTAGACCATCAAAATAATGTATTAAAAAAATTTATTCCGAATTCATAAAAGATATTCCCTTTTTATATTATCTTAAATTCTTACACAGAAAAAATAATTGTGCTAAAGTATTTAAAAATTTTGTTAGATACAAATGTTAAAACAATTTTGTTGGGTCATCAAAATAATTACATAGGACGTTCAAACTGATTGCTAAAATAACAAACTTTGTGTAGCATTGCTCTTATCATGAGATTCCTATAAGATTATTTTGATTCCGCAAAATTATTTTCAGATCTCTATTTACCTAAATTTTTATTAGATACTTCAGCAAAAGGGATATACTTCACTCATTTAGATACTTCCTTCCTTGCAGGTCTGTTTTCATCGTTAAACTAGCGTACACTTTCTGTACTTAAAGTGAAATATACAATTCGAAATTTAAAAATAAAAAAGAGAAAGTTTCAACGCAGTGAACGAAAAACAAAGCTTGCGGCGAATTTTCGTCTAATGCGCAATTCAATCTTTCCCTTTAATTATTTCGAAATATTGAACCACCGAGGTACATTATTATAAAATCCCAGCCGATTACCTTCCGCGCACGGCACGTTAATCAGCGGGCCGCTCTAAGCGCGCGTTAATTAGTGATTCGCGGCCGATAATGCCGGCCTGCGAAAAGTTTGCAGTTGCGTCGTCGCTCCGCCCGGCCAACGGGTTAAAGAGCGTTTTATCGCGTCGGTTGTTATCGCCGGCACGTACGAAATAAATTACGAGGCCGCGGGAAGGCCCGTCCGGGTCGCGCAGCGCCAGGGAGGGATACTGGGCAACAAATAATCACGCGGCGCCGTTACTCGACCGTACTGCGGATTAAAGAGCGAAATATTCAATTACGCTCTGGCGGTCGATAATGACTGACGCGCGATACACCGCGCTCGCGGTCCGGAGCGGAATTTCCAGCGCGCAATATATTTCGACGTTGACTCGCACGAATGTTTGTTTATCGCTGGCGTTACCTCCCGCAAAAGTCGCCTCCTCTCGTGAAATTGTTCGTGCTCCAGGGAAGATCGATCCGCACGATTCTTTGGCCCTAGCGAATCTATAACTGATTCAGAGTTTAGTGCATGCATACAGTTATACATTATAGGCACACACGAATACACATTTCCGATTTTATATATTTATATTGTCTCATTAATTCTCGATTATAATAACAGGAGCAGAAGTAAAAATTGTAGACGCGATTGGTACGATCTGTACTATGAGATTCTAAATTGTAAAGAACTTGGAACTTTCTTGTATTAATCACCGTAAGAAAGAGGTTGCATTCTGTACTTTAAACGTTTTAGAACTTAGATATAATTTGTAGTTTTAGGATTAATCCTCTGCAATCGAGATCTTTTTTGTCCAGCACAAATTTTTTTATTGTTTTAGGGTTTCGAAAAATGTGGAAAAATTTTGAGTTATTTTTTTAAACATTTCCTTTACATTATCAAATAGTTTTTTATTAAGATATTTTAGGAGAAAGAACCAGACGCTGTCCTTAATTTCGGAGAATGAAATTTTTCTTGCGCCAAAAAAGACTCAGGTTTGCGTTTGGAGGATCCCAATTAAAGCTAATTCATGAAAAGTTTGATTTGCATTCTCAATATGCCGTATACTTCACAACAACAAAATAATTTTCACAGAATGTTCACATATTAATGTCACGAAAATCACTCACTCATGAACAATATACATGTTAATCATCACTTGATGTTGGCCTGCATAATAGGTTTGGCACCAACCCTCGTTCCGTTGAGGGAGTTCAAGAAAAAGAAATATAGTGAAATTATTCGCGGTAACGTGGATTGGCTGTCGCACAAAGCGAGATGCTCGGTCTCTTCTGAACGACATGAGTTTCTGGCGCCGTGCCGTTCTCTAATATCAATGTGTCTCCGTGACTATTTGCACGTTTGCATAAAATTCAAGGATTTCAGCATGATTCATCCGCACAAACTGAGCGCGCATTCCCCACCGTTACAATTCTTCGTTTACTGTAGAGACCCTCAAGCAAGAGTCTAGTCACGAGACAAATATAGCGACAATATTTGACTCTATTGTAAAGTATATAGGTTTCCGTGAAGCTTTGCATAATCCATCCTACATACTCTACAATACATAGTGATTGCCGCCATATTTCTTTCGTGAAAAGATTACTGACGTTCATTTCTACCAATGTAGATTAACTTTAATCTTCGTTTAAATATTACTTTTCATCTTTTTCTAATTCTTAGAACTAGAAAAGACGAAACTTGAATTCAGATTAAACTTAACTTACATTGATCGAAATAAGCACGAGTGTCCAAAATTTTACTTGAAAGTATCTTTACTTCAGTATATATTCGTGTGAAAAGACCAGTATTTTTTCTCTTTTCTACTGCTCCCTCCAGAATTTATATAGGATCCTTATATAGAAAGGCTAAAAGTACCACAATTCAATTGTCGTGATTTAAGGCAGGAACTTCCATTAAGCCAAGAGAGTATCATAAATTGTCTTACTATCTTATGTTCTTCCACAAAGGAAGCGACTTTACTAGCGTCCAATCGACAGCTCTTCGTTATACGAAAAGACGGTTTATTTCTGACCAGCACTTGCATCACCGGTTTCTCATTATCGTGTTTCAGGTGAGCCGCTATCTCGATGCACCAGACATCATCACGGGCAACACCACGCCAATGGATCCGGCGGTAAAGCAGCGGCTGCTTCGCCATCTCGATAGCTGCGTGTCAGAGCTTGATCTGGACCTGGGCTCGCGACCGGACAGTGGCCTGGGCAGCAGCCCGGGTAGCGTGACGGATCGTGTGGCGGGGACGACGAGCCCGGGCCCGTTGGATCACCACGTGCCGGTTGGACCGCATTGCAGCGCCGCGCTCACGCCGGCGGGTCTGATCAAGTCCGAGATCCCAGAAATGGTGGAGGCGGCACGACCCGATAGCAGCACCACCGCTGGCGATGAGAACAATAACAGCAGCCGACCGACCTCCGCCTTCAGCCAGGTGAATCCGGCAACGTTGGACCCGCATCATCCACATCATCCGTCGGGCTTACCGGTCGATCAAGCCTCCACGTCGCAACAGAACCCCAACATGCTCTCGGTGGTACAAGTAATACCCTCCCGATTGCCGGACGGCCAGGTGGTCTTTCTACTGCCGAGCCACTACGTGCAATTGGCAGCGGCGAACATGTCGCTGCTCAAAGCCACCGACAAGCTGGCGAAGCGACCGCATGAGGAGATCGGCCAGGAATGGCAGGATCCTACCGGCCTCAAGCCTAGCAAGAGCCCGCGAATGGAACAGCCAGAGCAGCCACTCGACTTCACCACCACGTCCAAGAAGATAAAGACCGCTGGTTCGAGAAACTCGGCGCATTCCGGCGTGGTCGATCATCATCATCATCTGCGGCAGCAGCAGCAGCAACAGCAGCAAGCCCGTCTACCGACCGAGACCGGCGGTCCCATCATCCACGAGGACAGACCGTCTAGTCATGCGGATAGCGAGGTCGCCGTCGGCATGCCCTCTCCGTCACCAGTCGGCCAGCAACCAGTCAAGGATGAGGAGGGTATGTGGAGACCGTGGTAAAGATCCAAAGGCTCTTTATCTTTGTAAATAAAAGTGTATCTCGTGAAGCGTGCGTGCGAAACCGGAAGTCGTGCCGGTGCGCAGCTGCGATCGTCGTCTACTGCGGAAATCTTCCTTATGATGGCTACGATCGGATCGTGTATATTCGATACGTATCTGGATTATCGGTCTCGGTAAAGCGAAATTAACGGTTATTATTGAGAATAATTTTGGAGACGTAAAACTGTCGTAGATTTTAGATTATTTTTAAGGTAGTGCGTCATTGAAATTTTTTAAGTCTGGATACGACTCAATCTTTTTTTCTAACTAAGAAATCGAAGATTGCAGGAAAAAAAATTTCATTTGTTTTAATTAGAGACCCTATAACAGTTTGATCACGAATGATTTTGTCAAAATCCTACCAAAAGAAATATATAGTTGTATACTATCTCACTTTAATCTATTTTACAACTGTAATTAACTCTTTACGATCATAGTGAGTCACCTTTCTTTATTCAGTTTTTTGCGAATTTTACAAATTTTTTGTGATTTCAATATTCAAAGTAAATAAACGTTTTTCCCTCGTAAGATTTTGAAAAAAATCGTGATCCGACTCGTGTTATAGGATTTCTTTTGATGTTGCAAAATTCAATTCGGCACGTGCGATTTCGAGAATACGTCCCTGGGCGAAAATGCGCGTACATTTCAAAAAGTGCTCCCCAATTAACGTAATGTAATTCTCAAAAGAGTGGCGGTGCGCGAAGCCAAAAGTAATTAACGCGCGGTATTTATTTACGTTATTATTATAGAATTGGCAATGACACAATTTCGCGATAATACAATCCGCAATCGGGGGATTGTGCGATCGGCGAATTTTCACAGGCGCGGAAAATTAACGCGATTGACGTTAATATCGAAAAGTATGTTAATTGGTAGGGAGAAGGGCACTTAAAATTACTCTTTCACGCAGCTGCAAGGTCGTTGTATTTTACGTACGTCGAAATCGTAATTTATTCCTTCCCCTCCCCAGATACAAATGATTTCACCGATCTCTAGATTTTCGACGCTCGAGGCAGAAAACCGAGGAAAACCGCGGCCAACTTTTTTTCTTTTTTTTTTTTCTCCCCCTTGTCGCACCACTTGTGCTCGACTGTGGAAATGAGTACACGGAAAAGGCGTATGCGCATTCTCGCTTAATAACTCCGGCGCGCGAGAACGTGTGACGTCAGCATTGCCGTACGCGCCGTTTCTTGCGACGGCGCTAATGAAGCCTTTAATTTGCATCGCGTCCAAAAGCGCCGCCGCCGTCGCCGCGGTCGTTAAATCCGCTGCAAAATCTCGCGAAAACACCGCTCGAATAACGGCGTTCTCGACTGCCGGCTTCGGTTGCATCGCAGCGGGATTCTCGTATTGGCGAAACGATTCCGGAATAGGGCGAATTCAACGGGGGATGAACGTAACGAGCGAAATCGCGGCGAAACGTGTAATGTAACGCGCCAACGTTTAACGATCTTGTAGCGTGACTCGGGAAAGATTAAGCGCCATGCGTTTCCTTTTATTTCAAAGACCACCCTGCATTGCCGCGAGCGGCTTATTTTTAGAAGCGTTCAGAAAGGCGAAGACGTATTAATCTCTGACGGCTATTCTAATTTCGTTAAACGTAGCTGTGTTCCATGTGAAAGTAAGCCACTTCCAGGCTTTGCCCATCCCGTCAGCTGAGTATTTAATCTTTATTTTAACCCTCCGTTTGTAATCTGGGACTTTTTTTGGCACGAATAAAATTTCATTCAAATTTCACTCTTACTTTTGCTCTTTCACATAATTTCGGCTGTTTCTTGTTGAACGGCATGACTTACTGAATGGATCATGATGATCATCAGGGATCACATAGTGTTGAGTTCAGATTCTCATTAGAGCGTCACTCAAGTATTGCTCCATCCTTGTTGTACATAGACAAGGATAATATGACACCTGGAGAATCAGAAGACAGATTCCTTACCCAGATAGAAATCTGAATCCGCCTACTGATGAATACAACTAACATGCACAGATAACATATATATTTTGACTGTTCATTGCCAATATTGAAAATCTCACACTAAGAAAAATTTCTTGTTGAAGATGAATGAATTAGTAGATTCTGATATCAATCATTTGAAATTCGGTTATTATAATTGGACATATGATTTTCTGATCAACTAGAATTATAACAGATTTCACTATAAAATTCTGATTTATCTGTTTTCTCTCCACTAGAATTTCCATTAATGCAGTCAGACTTTTTGCAGTGTATAATTTACGTTATGTGTGCTATGCATTTTTAACATTGGTAGTGAATTTTAGACTACAGCTTTTAGATTACTGCAGGAATATTGTTATCATCTCTTAAGAAGTACTTGAGTGATTAGTTAGTTTAGCAAAATAGTGATCACGCAATCGTGAATGATTAAATTAAGATATTAACATATAAGACATTGTTTAAAAAAATTATTTTAGTATAAGATAAAGATATTGAAAAATAACTCTGAATTTTTTTTGAAAGACTAAAACAGTAAAAAAACTTAAGTTGAATAAAAAAGATCCAGATTGCAGACGGGTGGAATAAAAATATGATTCCAAAGAGAGGATTAACTTATATTTTTGCGTATACTCCTCTGGATTGATCGAACTAATCGATCGGATTGATCTGAATCAGCTTGCGCCTCTCTCTATCGAGGAAAATTAACGGAGAACAAGTATGGAATTGAGAATGCGGAGCAGAAGCGACGACACGTAGCGACGCGAATGTTTCGAGGAGCGAATGCCAAAATAGAGCGAGTGCGAGACAGGATTGTAAAAAAAAAAAGCTATACGCCTAAACTTCTGCGATTTTCTCTGAGAAAACACAGCGAGGAGGCAAACTGCCGCCTCTTCTGGCGGGGCCATTCGGTCCCGTAACTTTGCGATTGTGCAAGCGACAAAAAGAAATTCTTCTGACGTAGTTGCGCGTAAAAACGCGTTACAAGATAACTGTATGTATGTAAATGATGGAGTAATTTAGTTTACGATTATTAATAAAAAAAAAAGAGAGAGTGGGAGAGAGGGAGAGAAAGGGCAGTGTGTGTGTGTGTGTGTGTGTGTGTGTGTGTGTGTGTGTGTGGGTGTGTGTGAGGGGGTGTGTGTGTGTGTGTGTGAGAGAGAGAGAGAGAGAAAGAGTGAGAGTGCGTGCGTTTTAGTCCGCCATTCGTGTACATAGCCTCTCGATCGGAATTATTGCTATTTGCGAGATATAGATTTATTTTGATGTTATCTAGGTGTATATATACGGCGTAAGAGAAAGAGAGGATGCGTTTGTGTGCGTGTATTTTGCGTGAATAGCGAGCGATTCGTCTGTGGAGGCGCGACCAACAAATCGCGCTCAGCGTAGCGAGGAGTCCACCATCTCACCACCTAATTTACGTCTCTAATTGCTAAATATCCTGGGATTCGAATTCCTTATTCGATGTACTTAGACACGCAGTCAATATAGGCATGTATATTGAACTGTACACTACGCCGTGTTTTTTATTATTCCCTGCCCAATCGAAATCGGTGTTGCAATCTGCGCACTGAGAAAAATTTTTGATTATTATTACGTGATGCTATAATTATGATTGTTATTGCTACAATGTTAGTAACAGTAATTATATTTGTAGTTTTATAAAAAAAATATACATAGTTGGTACCGAAGATGAATATAATTTATAATTATTATTATCATAAAAATAATTACAATTAATATAATTTAATTATAATTCATTTTTTCTCTCAGTGCAGTTTCTAAGCTTTCTAAAAGTTAGTCCTCAAGAATTCTTTCTTCCCTTGATTGTAGTTTGTATATATATCAACATTTTTTTTTTATTAAAAAATCTAGTTGTATTAATTCTAGAATAATTCTTAAATAAACCACAAAAGTACAAATAGACACTTATAGTTAAAAGCATTAAACATTCTAGTCAAGATAGACCAGAAATTCAATTCTCCGATAATCCGAATTTTGATTTGATATGATCAGAACATTTTTCTCAATATCGAAACTGATTATCATCGATCAAATGCAAGAATTGTCTGAGGTAAGTATTTAATAAACTATAATTTTCAATACATTTTAATACGGAATTCCCTAGAATTCTTTCTTTTCTCGATTTCATTTATAATTTACGCAAATGTCAACATTCTTCTACCCTAGAAAAAGAGTTGCATTAATCTAGTAGGGATTCAAACTCATACATTAACATATAAGTAAAAAAATGTATACCTGAAATATGTGAATATATATACATATATATTTGTAACTTATTGAAATAAAATTAATTTCTTCTTCAAAATTCTTCGTATAATTTTATTTCTCGTCATACTTTTCTCACTTCTTGTCGCGATTCTAAAAAATATCGAGTGGCATCGCCCAAAATTGCTCCGGGCCGATTATTATATCCTTCACTTTTTTCCTTCCTTCTTTTTTCTTTCGTCGAATAATTTGCATCACTTCGCGCGGTCGACCTTCGGTGAACGCGCCTTTCGCAGGGAAAAGGCGACGGCGGCGACGAGCGGCGGGATCGTTAATGCGATTTTTTCCTGGCCATTAAACTTTTTGCTGGGACGTCCCGGCGCGGCGAGCGCTGCCGGAGAAACCGATTACCGATCGTTAAAGTCTGCCTGTTTGCGCCCGGCGGAATTGACCGTTCGCACGCCTTTCCTGCCCGCGTATAACCGTAACGTAAACGGGCGTAAAGTCCGCTTGGCAAATGAGCCAAATCCGTTTCCGCGACTGCCCGCTTACCGGAAACCGGTTTATCGGAACGCGAGATCCGGACACGTGATAAACGATAAAACGATACATCTCACGAACATACCGCGCCTTTCGGATAAGGACGACGCGTCTTTCCCGGAACTTCAATGGCGCGGATTACCTTATTTAGAGTCGTGCCGTTCCCTAAGGAGCAAATATGCATTAGGGCATAGACACGCCCGCGTGTAATCTCATATGTTTTTCGAGTAGAGATCGCTTCCGCGTATCTTCGATCATTTTCAGATTATATCGTAGCACGATTATATCGCAGTTTATCTGAGCTGAAGCTCTAGGTTGCCAAGGTATTAAGGTTTAAAAAATGAAGAAATTAGGTAATTTGAATAATCGCATCTGTGCTCTCTCTCTCTCTCTCTCTCTCTCTAAATTTCTTGGTGTGAAATTTCACTCCAAGAAATGTAGAGTGGTGCAATTTTTTTAATCGTTAAAGCAAAACGTAACGACTGTTAACAGTATAGGAGAGATCGGAATATCATGAGCTACAAAAATACTT